ATTAACTGTTGCCTACTTTAGCAAACTAATTATATTTGAACTCTTCTATATTACTGTAAATGTGTGCAGTCTACATGGTGTGAGAGTTTATGTTCAGTTAGCTTACAGTCTGCAGAGACTATGAAGAATGAGAGAGATCTCACTCTGTGCTACTATACTCGGCGCAGTGTCCCCAAAGTAAAACTATTGATATTTTGCATTGACAGTGATCAGAGAGTGACTGGCTCTCTGAAAAGGTCAGGTTGATTGATAGAATTTTAAGCTGCATTAATTGATTTTTTTTTTTTTTTTTTTTTTGCCATTTGAGAGCAGAAGAGGATGAAAGATACAGTATGTCGAATAACTACTGACAAAAGTTGGTATGACTGACTGGTCTATATCCACTGAGCAACCTTATATTACAACTGCCTATATTCACCCTCCTTTTAACTCTTGAGGGAAATATGACACTTGATTACTTTAATATTAGCTTAATACATATTTAGAAGTTGTTCTGATTGGCCTCCGGTTGCTGCTTTATTGCTCATTTAATTTTAGAAGCATAATATATCACATTTTTTTAAAAAAGCCATTACAAAATGGAAATTGTAGACTAAAAATGAACTGTGTCATTGGATTATATCAGGTAGACACATAGTAAAAAGAGTTTTAAAAGTAGAATTTTAAATACTTTTAAAAGTCAGTCATTCAAATTCCATTTTTAATAGATCAATTAGGCTATTATTATTACCTAAATCATAATTCCTAATAAATCCTTTAAAAGGGGTTTTATTGGCAAATGTAATGATCTATTCTAAATTGTTTTTTACTATTATTATTATTTATATTATTAATCTATTATCTCTGATAACTCGTCAAGGTGCCCAGTTTTATTTGACTGTAAACAGGTTAACTCAACAGGATCAGCCTGCACATATATAACCAGTACCACAAGGCACTGGCATGCATAGACATCCTTGTTCTGTGTAGGTAGCACTGTAGGTCGCTGTGTGATGGTAGTGACATGTACTTCTAAAACCTCTAGCAGCTGCATTACATTGATTAGCCTGAGTGGTTTATGCCGCTGAATTCTGGGACTTGTAGTCAGGACACCACAGCGATCAGACGCCAGCAGCAGCACCCTGCAGTCAAAGATGCGCACATCAACTTTGTAGACGAGAATCAATAGCTGAGGCTCGGGCCTATCCCCATAAAGCTGACCAGTCACATTTTGTCAAGGCCCAGGGTCTGCCAGGTTAAAAACGTTTACACTGCATTAGACAATACAGGCTCTTGAGAAATGTCACTGTCCATTTCCCAAATGGAAATAAATGGATGCTCGGATGCTGACCGTCCAGAGGCTGCTCTGAAGTCTCATATCTGATGCACAGACCATTCAAACTCTGATATCTTGAATCGTTCAGTGCGGTACCATGTTGTTTTTCTTTGACAAAACCAGCAGGATTACGTAGAAAAGTGACATCATCACCTCAAAGTCAAGGACTCCCAGCACCTTAACATATAAACTGCTCCCAGTGGCATCACGCTGGGTTTCCTGGAGACACGAACCCAATCAACAGAACAGCACCCTTTACAGAAATAACTCTATAGCAGTCCTCTAGAGCACACTATAAAACCTGGCATATATAAAAGCATATCAAACTTACCAGAGCACTGCGATTTCAGCCGCCCAGGGCTATATTAGAGATTCCTCTTAAACTTATTTATATTCAATTAATAGAAAAAATCTGCATTGTTTTATAATCTTAAAATATCCTTATGGCAAAAATACATTCCCCACTGCCCTATCGCCCCAGTAGCCTACATCTGAATGCCGCATTGGAGTGAGAGAGGGATACTCACATTAGGGAACCAGCTTGCTGGCAGCAGCATCAGTGCAGCATCTCTGTCCGCTCCTCTGCACCGCAGCGCAGGGCTTTACTTCCTTTAAATGACTGCATACATTGGATGCTACCCGACGGGAACACTTAGGAGAGGATAGTTTGAATGTAATACGCCTTTAGATGAGATATCTAACAGTCGTGAACACCTCTGGACAGTTTCATACTGCAGCTTTTAACGCACAGGTCTCTTAAAGCGACAGCTGCTGTATAAAGCTCCGATGGGACACAGCACACCAGCAAATATGGGCTGGGCGAATAGAGCATCATAGACTAGAGCAGAATAGATTCAATAGAATAGATTCTAATTCACTTTAATTCAAATGAATTTAAATTAAATTAAATTGAGGTGTGAATACAAATATGATTGAACTTTAGAATATAATACAGGAAATACAGTATAACTTTTACAGTAGAACAGTAAGTAGTAGTAGTAGTACAGTAGAATGAATAGAGTAGAAAAGAATAGAATAACATAATATACAGTCTATGAACAGAATAGAAAATAATATATTCATAGTCCTAAATAACTTCCTTGTTCACTCATTCACTACCTCCCTAATAGACAATCAGTACTGATTTAATAATTGACTAATCTAATTAATGACAAATTATTATTATCACTGACAGTCAGTGAGTCACACAATGTTCATTTTCTATCAAATGTAAAGCAGTGCATTGTGGGATTGGTAGCAGAAAGTAGTGTGCATGTCAGGGACATTATTGTTTTTGTTCCTTTATGGACATTTTGAGGGAACTACATGGTGGATAAATTGACGTACTAAGAATTAGGAGACTCATATAAGATGGCAGCATAGTGCAGTATACAGGAAATAGGGAGTGATTTCAGACACATCCTTTGAATAGCATAGAATCATTGACTGTGCAGTCCATTAATTAAACCAAATAGAGCCAGACTGTATAGTATGATTACATTATATTCCATTCATTGACCACAAAGTCTATGATTAGGTTCTAACCCAATGACTCTATTCAAATAAAATAGAATAGAATCAGACACTGTACAGCCGATGAATATAATAGAATAAATAAAATAGGAGTCTACTAACAGAACATAATCAATATGGAGTGCAAGAAATGTGATATAAATAGACTAGAATAGGCTGTAGAAGATAACGTCTATACATTTCTAGATGACGAAACTGCTCAATAGACAATTCATAGCAGACAACAGTAAACACAACACCAGACGTTCACCAACCAAAGTGATCAACTAATAAACCATGACACCAAGCTCCCAGCAGATGGAGACAACAGCTAGGTTTGAATCTCCTGCTGTCTGAGGGAGAAGACTGTAGTACATAGTGTCACAGTGAGGTGCAGGTCATCAGTCTACAGATTTGACCTCAGAACAGTGGAAACAAATACATACAGTATAAACATTAACAGCAGAAATTTGACTAATGTATTTTTACTACAGTGAAACTATTGTTCAATGATTTTGTTTAAAATAGAACAAACTCATAAAGGTGAGGAAAGAACTATGACACATACTTTTAACTGTAAGTAATAATAATAACTGATTTCTTGCATGCTGCATTAGATACATAAAGCAATTTTAATATTAATATTCCACAGTAAGCAAGTAAGTAACAGCTAATTGTATTTGCAAAGTAGACACTGATTTCCTGGAATTGATATACTACATGTCCAGACATGTACAGTAATTGGCCACTTTTGCTGCAATGCTGAACTTTTGTCCTCTGTGTCTTTGCCTTGGTACTGATATACACCAGTGTGCACACAGCAGGCATTATTGCCAGAGGTGGATATGATCATGTATGTTTTGTGTCAACATGGCCTTTGTCAAATCAGTTGAAGCTGCAGCTAAAAAAACCCTTTTTTTATATATATATTTGGATTTGTCAGATAATAAATTGTTTGTGGAAAGAGTTTTCATTATGTCAACTCTCTATTAACAATATAGTAAGTTTAAAAATGTTTTTTACATTTAGTTTAAAAGGTACAAAGACCAATTTGCAAAAAGTTCATCTTTACTGGATTCTTCCCTATTAATACCTTTTAGAAGTGGGATTCAATTAACTTCCAATGCATATATAAAGTCTAATATGATGATTAGTGGTCATGAATGAAGTATTTATTGTCCAGCGTACCCCCACCACTTCACACAGAATCAGCACTTTGACATTGAACCCGGTCATCCCCTAGCAGACGGGTTAACAAGTCAGCCGAGGTTCAGCCAATCGTGGAGCAGCACACTGACGTCATGACATCTGCAGCTCATAGAGATGAAAGCTTCCCCAGATAATTTCATGTCCACAACCTCCAAGTAGACAGGCAGCTAAAGATAACACAGCAGTATTATATCGGTGGTGGAAGAAGTACTCAGATATTTAACTTAAGTAAAAGTAGCACTACTACAGTGTAGAAATACTTACAAGTAAAAATTCTGCATTCAGTTAAAGTATTAGCCTCAAAATATAGCTAACTTCCCAAAAGTAAAAGTACTCATTATGCAATGGCCCATTACAGAATGATATTTATTATATTATTGGATTATAATCATTGATGCATTATTGTGTAGGCTTGCATCACTTTAATGTTTCAGCTGTTAAATGTAGGTCTAATTTTAATGTATTTACTGCTGGGCAACTTGTAATCAATAATGTCTTATATTAACTTATGATAATAAATAATCATTTATTTGTTGATTATATTTTGTATAATTTATCTGAATCTGAAAAGTAACTAAACTTTGCAGACTGTAGTGGACTAAAAAAATAGGCTACAATCTTTCCTTTCCTTCTGAACTGTAGTGGAGTTTAAATATACAGTAGCAGAAAATGGAAATACTACTACACAATTGTACTTAAGAACAGTGTGAATGTAGTTAGTTAGTTTCCACCAAGTGCATTACATGTATTAATGAATCAAAAACCAAATGTGCTGCTCCATAATAGTTGTTTATAAAGTGTGTTACTTGCAGTCACTAAGTGGGGACCACAGGGACACTGTAGGACCATTAAGGTCCACGGACCACAGTTTGGGAACTGTTTGGCTGGTGCTCAAAACTAAGAACACAGACCATAGACAGACTATAAAACACCAAACCCATCAAATAAACCACAGACCCAACACACACACACACAGACTGAAGAGAGAGCGACTCTACTCCTCTTGTTTTCCAACCAAACTACTGCACCGACCCTCGTAACAACCCTCTGAATGGAGACGCTGTTATTGATCACACAGTCAGCGCTGTGGGACTGCCTCTCTGTGGGACCGGGTCTTTGATGTTGTGCAGGCTGATCACAGATCAGATACACGCGCTTCAGATCCATAAAGCCACCCCCTCCCTCTCTCTCCCTCCCTCTCTCCCTCTCTCTCTCTCTCTCTCTCTCTCTCCCTCTCTCTCTCTCTCCCTCCCTCTCCGCCTTTGATCTGAGCGCTCAGTTTGTCCTCGGTGATCCGCCGCTGCTGTGTTGAGCTGGGCCGGGGCAGCAGCGCTGACATGGTGAGCAGACCGGTGCGGGAAACACACCACCACACCTCTCACCGGTCTGCTTTCGACTTTTAACAACCAACACTTTGATCAACAACAGGCTCCTTTTTAGCAGGTAAGAAGAGCTTTTTTTTTTTTTTTTTTTTTTAAATTAGTTATGGACATTCACATAATGCGCTTACAAGCCTTTGGTTAATATCAGAACACAAGGCATAACAACAAACCTCTTGTCCTTAAATGCATATTAAACTTATTATTCTAGCGACACAGTGCAGTGAACGGACGATAATGTCGCTTTACAGTCACGAGTTGGTTGATACAGGCGCTTTACACCTATTATACGGATATTATATTGGTTTTTAGTTGAGGATGTTGTCGACATGGTGATAGTATTATGATACTTTTTATGTAATGGTCCTATAACAACTGTACAGTGTAGTTCTGGACGCTGTCAGCGGACTGTCGCTGCGGCTGATGGGACTTTAATCAACCAGCGTCAATTAACTGTGTTACACTGTGCACGTGCGTGTGGTTGATTAGCGCCTCTCAGCCTGTACCTGCTTTATTATACATTACATAGGCGTTTAACCCCTTAACATCCACTTCCCCCCTTTTATTACCCTGTAACTGTTGTTGCTCTAAGGTTGGAGATGTGAGCTTGTTCCTCACTGTCTGACATATATATTGTGTATAATAATTCACAATTATAGCTGTATTGATGTTTACAAGTTAAATATTAAAACCAAAGACTGTCAGTTTTATTGTTTTACTTGAGGAAATTTAACCCAGCCAAATATTATTTTCTTGACAAATCATTATTTTATGGAGCGAAAACGATAAAATAACACACTTACATACTCTGTTTTGTTGTTTTTTTCAGCTGCAGGCAAGTGGCTGATCAAAATGGTCTGGATGCTTCAACGCACCTTCACACTTCTACTGGCTCTGCATGTCATACATTCAACTCTGGTACGTGTTTCACCAATTTTTTTAAACTTTGAACACAAGCAAGTGAGAGAATGTAGTGTTCCTGATTTGCTCACTACTTTTTATTAACCCAGGATTTATTATTATTGTGTGTATTTCTTGTCGGTTGTAGTCTTGTAAACATTTACAAGGGGAGCATACTGAGTGAATAAGAACATTTTCTTCTCCATTTAATTATATTCTACTCTGTTTTATTTGAGTGCTAAAGTCCATTCTTGACTGAGGGTCAAGTGAGTGTTTTAATAAAAAAAATCTTTACTTGAGGTCCACTTACTAGCTTTCTCTGAAGCTTTCCACAGCATTTCACACCTTCTCCATGACAACTGAGCAAACCCCTACTTTAAGTAACTAAAGTTAACTGCGGAGGCTACAAAACTCTTCGTTTTTGCACAAACTGCACACATGAACTTGAACTGCACTGCATGCCAGTGTTGAACAGGTACCTGCTCACACAGTGGCATCTTTAAAACACTTACTGGTAACACTGACAATGCCGAGTATCATTTTACCTTTATCCACTGCACTGTGCTGATTGTATTTGCTATTTGTGTCCTAGTTTCTGGTTTTGGTGAGCCCTGTATTGTTCCTTTTGACTTGATTTTGAACTTGATTCTGGGGCTGCAACTATGCAGTTTTCCCACAGGGCTCATTAAAGTTTCATCTAATCTCAACCCAACAGTATCAGACTTGTTTTCAAGAAGAGTCCAAGGCGGGGGTTGATCCCCTTAAACTATTATAAAAGATTATGATGCATAGCTCCGGATTCGCTCTGCTTTCTCTGTTATGGATGAAAGTGGTGATGAAATGCAGGAATCTCTAACTTTCACCAAATGACTGTCCCTCTCAGATTCCTGTGAGGGCCGAGGAGACCAGAGAATGCAGAGAACAGGAGTACAAGGACCGGTTTGGGAACTGTAAACCCTGCAAGCAGTGTGATGCGGGACAGGAGCTGTCAAAGGTTGGGACAAAGTTGTTTTGGACCCATTCTGGATTTTTTTTTTATCACCTTACCTGAATTAACTTTAGTTTTAATAGAGAAGTCTGATGTTCTGCGTTGACTCAGGAGCATTTTCCACCGAGCTGCTAAAAGGAAAAAGTATTGTCACTTGTTTATTTAGGAAAAGGAAAGTGTAGTAACACAAGGGATTCATAACAGGTCAGTTGAATCAACTTCCTTAAGCTGAAAAAAAAGTTGGATGGATTATTCCTGTGGTGAAAAAAAAAACTGTTGAGTTCATGACAAGAATGGACATCACTGTTTAGAAAAGTGTATCTTATCCAGAGAACCAACGTTATTTATTACTTCCTCTCTTTCATGCAGAGAACAGCCAAGCCGATATTAGCTTTTGTAGAACACCGACCCTTCTTTAATCAGTCACACCCATACTTTTGACCTTCTGCAGCTGAATGGCTTCCATTGTTTTTCCCCATTGCACCCTGTCCAACTTATTGTCTTCACTGTTTGAAGCAAACCATGCCTAAGCTTGCTGCTCTCTCGACTGGGAATACAGTTTTTTCCACCACCTTAGCCACAGGTTTTGTGTGCTTTGTACAAACAGGCCTCTATAGTGTCAGCAAAGGCTTTCTTCTCTGGCAGCAGTTATGTACCTACCTTTGCAAGTGTAGGCATTGATGTAAAGGTGAGTGAAGTATAATCACTGAATCATTTTGTGGCAAACAAACATAAGAAACTATTTTACTTTCTTGTTTTAATAATTTAATAGTAAATAATGGTACACTGCAAAACCTTTACATCTTAAAAAGTATGTTTTTGTATCATATGCTGCTTTGCTAAATATTATTACATAAAATGACTAGATTATTCTACCTGTGCAGTTCAGTTATATTGGATTGGCACATTTCCCCCTTTTTTTTAAAGCACAATCTGTAAAAAACAAAAAAAAACAAACAAAAAAAACAAATAAATAAAGTAATTACAACCCATCAAGTTGGACCCTGTTGTTATGATATAAGTGAGAGGTCCTTTAATACTTTTACTGTAATACACAGACTGGCAAACACTATAACACCCCATTTATATCGACGGTGATCAACTAAATATTGGAAACACTTTACAGTATAATGCAGTACAGATTAACAGGCCCCTGGAACGACCATGAAGTTGAATCAAAACAGATTCAAACAAAAACTGAACATTATAACCTTGAATGTAGGATTTATTGCAGGGCTGTTGTTTTAGACTAGCTGGGTAATATATGAGAATATACATGTTATTTATATAGGCAAAAGATACTGATGGGTCTAAGAATATAAAATCGGACTCGAAGTTAGGATAGTTTTGTCCTCACAACTTAATTTCAGTTTATGGCAGCCTTAAGTAAACAATATTCTGCAATAGAAAGACTGGTAAACAGACTCTAGGTGGGTTTACACTCCACTACATCTTTGAGTACTGGTGAAAAAAACTCTGTATCACCCTTGACATCTGTTGCACACATGCATTTAAGCCTGGTTGCCTTTAATCTCAGTGCACACAGACATGCACTCTGTGGTTGGTAATACGCTTCAGTAGTCCTCGTGTTCCTCTGCCAGCTCAACAGGCATGAATGCTGCTAGCCACCCTGGGGTCCTGGTTAATAATTGGCTGCCTCATTCTTTCTCTGAAGGTAGCGGGATGTCGGCTCACAGTGGAGACCTAGGCCTGCACTCAGAGAAACTTTCCCAGAGACACAACTTCTGATCTGAGCACTGTGTAACCAAGACGGTCTGTCCATATTCTGAAAGCAGGACGGACTGTTCGGAGGGAAGCAGACTTTTGGAGTCACTCTGTGCAGCTGCCATAGAGATCCCAGAGGAATGTGCCCCAGTTTGCTCTGGAAGTTTGCCTCTGGAAGCCGCTCTTAGGCGGACTGACAAACATCAATTAGCCCCTTCACACTAACTGTAGCTAAAAGAACCACCCACACAGAGGGGCCGTCCATTAAAAGCACTTATTCTCTTTCAGACATATTTCATTCTAGGTTTCATTCATAGGAAGTTGCATAGTCTCTTGTGTGGTGTCAGGCATGAAGGAGAAGGGGTGAATTGCTTTCCAGTGCATGCTGGACAACTGCCAGTGGCAAAAAAGGCAAGAACACAACTTTGATGTGTCAACATCTTGTAGTATGTAGCAAGAGTATAACATTTCCTTCGGCCACACTCCCAGGGCAAAGGACTTCTGCAAAGGCTAAAGAGAGAGACAGAGGTGCAAGGAGTGTATAAGCAGCAGAAGGCTCACATTAGCATTAGCTGAATTGTGAGGTATTAAAAGAGACAGGGAAACTAAAGGAGTGTATTTTGTCCCACACAGAACACCGCTTTAACTAACATGCATTGTTTTCAGCGTTGTTTCATTACCAGATCAGATGACTGGCCACCCCCTGTGTGATTCCCTCCTAATCTCAGAAATATCTCTGCGTCTGAACATGCTTCAGGTTCCAGCCAGCTCTCCCCTCTCTCGCCGCTCCTCTCCCCTCCACACTGCTGTTATGCTTGGCAGTCTCAACCAAACTAGATCAGGAGATAGGACAGGGAAATGGGATGTTAAGCATTTGCTTTTTTTGGATGGCTTTGACGTGAAATCACCTTAAAGTACAAATGCTTTGTTTTGTCTCATGCATTTGAATATTAGACACATAATCCAAGATTGAACCTGCAGAGCAACATACAAATATTGTCCCTCAATTGCTAGCAGATGTATTAGTGAGTATATTTGCCTCCTTTCATGTGTATGTGTGTTTTGAGTTATTTTGCCATTATTATTGTATTGTGTTTAACAGACTGAATATGTATTATGTTGATATTGGGGGCTGTTTTATGATAGTAATGTGTTGGGAAAGGCTCATGCATTGCTCTCCTATTCATATAATAATAACTTCAGCACTGACAGATAACCACAGAGTACAGTCTTTCTTTCGAGAAAAAATCAGGGTGTCAGCTCAGTTGAGCTTTGTTAGCAGGGATAAAAGAAGAAAGAGATAATTCCTTGATGATCTGTGCTGCCTGGAGCAGAGGGGCAGAAGTTGGCTGCATTCTCCTTTTGTTTCAGTGCTCTGACCTGCTCGTGTCTACGTGGCATCAGCCCCCATCCTGCCATGTGGTGCCCCACAGGCAGAGCCTGTGCCAGTGCTGAGCTTAACGGGCATGAATTGTCCCCGGGCCCCTTCCTTCATGTGGAAGTGGGTCACAGAACCACTGTGAGGTACCCTGCAGTGGCTGGGCCTACAGTGCTTTCTTAAGGACCAGTTTTAGGGTTCAGTGCTGTGGTAGTTTTCCAGCCTCCCCTGGCTCAGTCTGAGCTTCATTCCCCTCAGACAGCCAAGATCATGGCTCGCAACAGTGGGTGGCTGAGTCTTCTTTATTCTGCCTTTCCCCTCTTTATCACTCATCAGCCACCCCCTCTCTGTTTCTCACTCTCTCTATGTCTTTCCCTACTTCTCCCCCCCCCACCACCTACACTGTTCCCTGCCCTGCCCTGCCCTGCTTGAGAGCAAGACCTTATATGGAGAGTTCATAACAACAGCTGCAATACTCCAGCCCTCACTGGACCACCTCAGGCCAGGCCTGGCCCAAGGGTTCAATGTCAGCCTCACATGTGTTTGGCTGGAAGGCCTGAAATCCTCATCTTCTGTCCCAACTCTGCGGTGCCATCACACGATCACATCCTTGCCTCTAACCGCCCGTTTCATTTCTCGCCAGCCTGCTTCCCCAAACCCAACCCCCATATCAGACTCTTGTGCCCACATTCCAGCAGGTCTACATGCCCGGGCAGTGAAATGGGACACGGGCGAGGAGAGAAGAGAAGAGAGAAGCCCTGTTTGAAGCTGGCCTTCACTTTAATGATATATGAGCACTCTCCCACTCCCCCTGTCTATGCCTTTGGCTTTGGATTGCAGTGTGGCAACACTGGACAACAGGGGGCAGCTGCTACGGAGCTGATAATGAATTATCAATGTATGATGTCATCCCTGCAGGGTCTTTTCACTCAGTGCGGTATACAGTAATATCAGCTGTCATCTAAATGTCATTGAGGTCAAATAATTTTTAGGGAGTTTGTAAAGAGACAAAACAAGACTAACACTGCCAGATGGAAATGAGCAGCCAGAGTAATGCACGTGTGGCTAATTTAGTGTTTGGGTTCCTCTCACCAGAAATATTACCTTGATTGTTGACTTGATTGTTCCTATATTGCCAGTTGTTGTACAGAATAATGTTAAATCTGAAAAAGAGTTAATCTGCCTCTGAAATAGATAACATAACTCTTATAACCAAACAATATACACACTTTATCTCCTGTCTGTGTTATATATATTCTGTCTATCTACTTTATGTCCTTCTTAAAAATACAAAAATGTCTTTAATAATCTACATTTTGCTTGGTTCAGGTGAACAGATCCTCAAAAGGTGGTTCAGCATTAGATCAGTCACACAGTAGTAGGAAGCTGTGCTTTTTAAGTGCACTTCCAATTGTTGAACACAAAAAGAGTATTCATCTTATTTTCTCCATATACCTCTCCATAATCCTTGCCCCCTTCCTGAAGCGTTTCCTTTGCTTGCTGGCCTCTCAATCAACGGGACACTCACTGAGTCTGCTTGGAGAGGGAGTCACACAAAAACGCAGCAATAAACTTGCAATAATACAACAGTGGGTGTCCCTCAGGGCCTTTATTATTCAAATGCCTGGCCTTTCTGGGTCTTGCAGCGGAAGGCAGCTCATTCATACTGAGAGAGTCAGGGAGATTATTGCCAGTGTAAGATGGACTCTCAAAAGAGGCAGACCATTGTTCTCCTCTGATCCCGCGAGCCAAGATCATTCTTTAATTCCAGACCCCCGGTAGTCCACATTCAAACCCTCTTTTCACCAGCTGCACATCTCCCCAAACCACCGACCCCACCTCTTACCCGGTGTATTTCTCTCGTTAATCCCCCCAGGAATGTGGCTTTGGTTATGGAGAGGATGCCCGGTGCGTGCCCTGCCGGAGCAGTCGCTTCAAGGAGGACCGGAGCCTACAGAAGTGCAAGCCTTGCCTGGACTGTGGACTCATCAACCGCTTCCAGAAGGGCAACTGTTCCACCACCAGCAACGCCGTGTGTGGCGACTGTCTGCCGGGGTGAGAGGACAGACACCAACACAGCTTTAATATGTAACACTATGAACTGAATTTGTGCATGTTTGCTGCTCATATGTTCTTGAAAGCTCTGAAGGTTAAAACATGTAATTTTGTGTCTTCACCAGATATTACAGGAAGACAAAATTAAGTGGTTTCCAAGACATGGAGTGTATACCTTGTGGGGACCCTCCGCCTCCTTATGAGCCTCACTGTAAGCACCTTTCCTTTCTTTTACCTCTTCTAACAGTTGGCCTCACATCAGTGGGACATTTCGTTAAATCTTCCCATGAATACAGGCTATTCATCCATGCCCACAATAGGTGATGTTTTAAGATGAAACAACAGGGATACAATAGTTTAAAAGCAAACATCACCAGCTACAGCACACTATTGAACTCCTAGCCAAATCCTACTAGAACCAAAACTCAGGCTGCAGTGCCACAACAAAGCCTGCACACATACAACATGCCAGCACAAGGTCCTTAGAGTAACCAGAACCACAGCCTTTAAAGGGTGGAGCGAGCCATAGTTCATTCACTAAGTCTCACTGAGCCGAGCAGCTATGCTATATGTGCAAATAAATACTTGGATTTACAAGCCGAGCAGTTGAAAAGCTGAAATTGATACCCGCTAACATAATGCTGGATTTACTAACACTGGATTATATTAGCTCAGAACACGTCACTCATATTCAGCACTCAATTTAGATTACATGAGCAAACTTCCCTGAACAAAACCTCCATTGAGAAATTCTAGACAAAATGACACTTCAAAAAAACAATTGACTGCACTGTTCTAAGTGGTTTTGTTTCAGCACCAAGGTAAACGCGACAGGGAGTGTGCCAGTTAAAGCAGCGCAATTTATTACCTTTTGTACAGATGCATTATGCAAGAAGAAGACAGGAGGTGTGTTACAGTATGTTCACAGAGCCGGGCTCACATTCCAGTAGGATACAGATCCAATTAACTTCTGTCTTCCGGCCATTATAAGTAGTTAAGTACAACCTTATGATTTCAGGTTTCCACATAAAACCAACAGGCGAGTGAACTTATACCTTTGGTAATTGAGTGTGACTTCCTGATGGCAGAGGAGGCTGCAGCTGTTTTGGAGGAGACTTTTGGCAGCATGAGCATCAGAGCAGTCCTAGCCAGGGTTAGCACGCCCATGTTAAATAAATGGAGACAGCTCTGGGATATCGGACAGCTAAAAAAAAAAAAAAAAAAACTTGTTCGCTCTTTGCTCACAAATGTAAAGAATCAAGATTTCATCAGACCATCCACTGTTTGTTTGGTTTTTAATTTAGGGTCTTTCTCTGTCTAGATTTTGAGAATATATTGTTGCAAACAGTGTTACTGTTTGTGTAATGAACGCCGGCCTTGGGACAACTGGCCTCCCTCTGTCTGCTCATTTGTCCATTTGTGCAGCTTCCCGTTTTGATACTGGAGGAGGCCAGCGAAACAAAATGGCCATTGTGTCTGAGAACATAGCTGGTAGTTAGCTCCTACAGGGACTCTCAGTGGAGCATTTCCAAATGTTTGAAAGTCTTGCTCCCTCCCTCCAGTATTATCTTGAGGAGGGTGGTGAAAACTTAAAGGGCAGATCATTCTAATAGGCCACACTGGCCCGGGGCAACGGTGCAGCTGTGCAGGGGAGGCAGTCGCCGTCTGGGGTGGACTGTAAATCTCAAACCACCCCCTCCTTTCTTCTCCTCCCTTTCCCCCAGTGGCTTTTTGGAGCCGAGTAAAAACGAGATTGTGTTTTATGGATTCCTTCAGCCTCTTTAATGTGTTTCATCTGCTGGAGTTTTTCACTGTCACGGTAGATCTCAGAGACTGGACCAATCTAACACACAGAGGTTGCAGACAGATACATGCGCACACTCAAACAAGTAGAAAGAATCCTACCTGCTGTTTGTAGCTTATCCCAGTATTGCAATCTATTACTTTTCCAACCGGATCTACACTAAATCAGATAGGAAGTTTATCTTTCTTGTTCAAATGCAGCATAGAACATCTTTAATATTTTAAAGCAGGATATTTCTGTTTTCACAAATTAAATATTTTCAAGAAATGGTGCAAATTCTGGCCTCCATATGCTACTGAAAGGTTTTTAAATAGAACAGAGCTTGTGATGGAGACTGGCCAAAAACTGTCCCTCTTGATAACCCCAACGCTCCATCTTGTAACGTAATGCAAACATATTCTGCATTCTCTCCTACGGCGTGCTCACTGACTTCAAAGGATCACACAATCAATTCTCACCACTGATGGCACAAAACATACCAGACTAGCAAGGTACAGGAAACATGCCTCACTAGAGTTGCCTGCCAGCAATACAAACCCGAACTTCAACAGTCAAAAGTCTGTTAACAAAAGCCACTCAAATGTCAGCAGCTGTAACGATCAGGTTATTCTCACTGCTTTTTTAATAAAGTTATCATGCAATTATTAAACCACAACAGTAAAGCATAATGATGTTTGGTGTTGCCACATTACAAGAGGAGACGATTGTAAAATGTTTTGCCACAAATGCAACACCCTGGGTGTTATGAATCATTCCAGCATGATTATATAGTTTATTTAAAAAATAATGCAAAATGGTGTTTTAATATGTTGTCTGTTGTACCTGCTAGTTTTTGTGTAGAATATATTTGCATCTCGAGAAGATTCTCTAGAGCAGACGCTGTTGAACTAGTTGAAGAAACTGAATAATTTATGATAAAAAATGTAAGGGAATAACAGATTTTAAGATGCACATCTCCTTGAACTAAACTCAAACATTTTATATTCTGTCTGAAATGGATCCACTTATCAAGTTTTTTTTTTGAACTATATATATATATATGTGAATATAAAATACTGTTCACAGCTCTAAACTATATACACCAAAAAATGTAAAATGTTCTCTTTTTTGTTATTCAGAGTTTTGTGTAAAACCGTGCGTAGTTCTCCTAAAGAGCCTCTTAAAAGAGTTTGTACAGACAAAAGTCAACGATCCTTCTGAGGTGTAAAGAAGTGCTGCTTTTATTTGGAGTATGTGGCTTTCCATAAAGTCAACAGGCGGGGAGTCTATGAAAGGCTGTGGTTTATTGGTCTGGTTTGTGTGGAGATAATATCAGCAGGTGAGGTTTCTTCAATGGGCTAGTGTTTATCTGTGTTTGCTGCAGCTGCTGGGCCTCTGATAACAGGCTGCCTTTGTGTCGTGGGGCAGATGATGCTCACCTTGGATGAGTTGAGTTTGACCTTGACAATGAAGACCGAATGTAAACACAATGGTCAGATGTTACATCTATGGACCACCAATACAATACAGACTCAAAAACACACTCTTTGTGTATCTGTAGATTATTATGGTAATCCCTGTTAAGGAAACTCATTAAGTCTTAAACTTCAATATAAAACAAGGTGGTGTGACACCTGGTCACTGTGAGAAAGAACACACCATTGTTAGTAATAATTATGTTTAATATACTCTTTGTTGTTAATACTGAGAGAATGCCTCTGTCGCTCTACTGTGATTTAATGTCCCTTTATGTCTCAACAGGTGATACTTTTTCAGTGTGATCAGTAGGATTAAATACAAAGAAAAACTTATCATCTTAATTGTACACAGAGGCCTTTAATACAAATACCTTTATATAAACTTAATCATTTAGACTTGCAGTGATTTTAGATCTGTCTGGATATTGGCAGTCAAAACTGTTTTTAATATTTGGCACAGGAATGTGGCAGTATCTTAAATGATAAGTAATACGTTTTTGTATGCACTTTTCAGTGCTTTATATCAAAACACTCCTTTATTGTGCCCTCTGGGTCAAACAACGTTTTGCAACACTGCTTTGAAATTTCCTTTTTTTTCCCTTAGAAGGAATGTTAAAATACCCTTATCCCCTATCTGGCTGAATAAAAAAAAAACTGCCCAAAGCTAAAGTAATGTTTACATTGCATAACAAAGAGCTCTTGGATGTGAAAAGGTTGAAACCAGTTCCCTTTATGATTAATGTACTGTAAAGCAAACAGCAAGGCTAACTGAAAAAGATTTTGTCAAACAAAAAGTCATTCGTTATATTTGCCATATTCATCAACAACCTCTCTCACAGTCAATTTAGTTGTTAACTGCTCTATGTTTCACAGTATTATACCTGCATATTTGTCATGTTTGCTCTGCAGTAGCCCACACCCTCTTTATCATACATACATTGATCAGGAAAATTATATTTGATTACTGATAATGATCAGAGACAATTATGTTAAGCTACATGTATTTAGCCTCAGAGAGAAATGTCAGTCAACTTGAGAATTCAGGCGTGCTACTGTTTCTCCTCCAACTCCCTCTTAAAGCTACACACCAGAGACTGAGGTTGACATACGGCTCACATGCTGATGTAACACTGCTCCCTGATGAGCCACTCGTTCTCTGTATACAGTTTCTGTGTGACAAGCAGCTGCAGAGGATCAGTATGTGCTGCTGCAGATACTGCTGGTTTAAATTGTTCATAACCCAATCACTCCGAGTACATCAGAAAGCTAAATGATTTGTTAACGTTATGATTCAGTCTCAACCTGTAGTCAGAAAGAAAGACTTGTTGCTTAGCCGTACAATCCTAGAAAAGTTGTTTTCATTTGAAATTACACGTCACCTATTAAAGACTGAGTGATGTCTCCTCGACAGGAATGTGAGGGATTTATTTGAGTGGTATTTTCCCCCTCAGGGTATGTATCAATGGGTTATTGTGATTTTATTAGTGTTAAAGGGCCAATTGTAAATAAGAGCTAAATTCACACACAGAACTTAAGAGTATAAGACTCAATCATTAAAAATTTGCATTTTGTGTTTGACTCCTCATTATACTTGAAAATGCAGGCCCTTTTCTAACTGTTTTACATATATTACCAATGAAAACAAGCCTTAAATCTTCACTATAATCAACATTTGTATATTAACAATGGATTAAATGCCTTTGTGTAATGTAAAAGTAAACAGAAAAGTATAACCTGATACATTTTAGCGTATTTCAGCTCAGTGTTTTGTTTTTTACGCTGGTTGGCGGTTTTCAGCAAAAAATCTCTGATAAACAAACATGTTCGCCATAACAACCTAATAAGGTGATAATATATTAAAGTTATGTTTATAGCTTGTTTAACTTTCCAAGTGGATAAAAAAGAAAGTTTGAGAGTGATTTAAAGTTCCAGTTGTGTTTTGAATTTTGCTACTCTTTCATTTGCATTTGGATCCCTTGTCCCTTTATCTCTGATGAGTGCTTGAAAGGATAATTACATGTAGCTGAAGCCAGTTCTTTTTCAAACAAGAGTGCCAGTATATCTCTCTTACATTGGGATATCTACCGTTAAGCCGTATTAAACCCTGATGTTCTGTATTTGTGGGAACTTGTATAATGAGCAGCATTCTTGAGGCCTAAAGTGTTTATATAAGTGTGTTAAGGGTCCTGAAACAGTGACATCACGTTTCCCCTCGGGCAGGAGGAGAACAGTTAAACAGCAGCTTACTTGTGAAATCAGTGTATGTGCTCACCACACGCACACAATGACACACAATGATACACAAAGTGTAAAAAACACTCCTGGTGTCTGCCCAATCCGTTCTTCTCTCTCCATCAGCCTACACACTCATATCCGACCTGTTTCAAAAGGCTGACCAGCATGTCTGCTTCTTGATTTCAGGGCTGTGTGACTAGCATGTGAGGGAGCCCTGGGGGGAGAAATGTCTGTAAATCATCTTCTGTGGGGAACGAGACAGAGGTAGATAAAGAGAGAATCCACCACAGGCGTTTTCTCTTTGAACTCCTCTGCTTATTTCATTAGACTTTAGCAAAGAGATGACTGGCTCAAGGCTAGAAGGGATAATTTGTCTCACATTACCCGATTCTGTTTGGCTGAGGAGTGTCGGGTAATATGAAGTAACTTCTCCTCGCCATGCGTTATCCCCGGCCTTTTCAACAACTGTTACTCATCAGAGATCAGTTGTTGTGTCTTAAACTCTGAATTTAGGTTGTTTAGTCATCTCCTACCTTCTTTGCAGGCAGCGGGCGTGTGAACCTGGTGCCGCTGCCGTCGGTGGTGACCAGCCCGAGGGACATGGCCCTGGCCGCAGTGATCTGTAGCGCTCTGGCCACCGTGCTGCTGGCCCTGCTCGTCCTGTGTGTCATCTACTGCAAGAGACAGCTGCTGGAGAAGAAGCCCAGTGGTGAGTCTGCAGTCTGAAATTTTTATTTTCAGAATCAGGACAGGTGTGTTTGATAGATACCAAGAAAGAGGTGTCGTTAGTGGCTTCTTTTAAACAATTTACTAATGATTGGTGATTGGTAAAATGTATACAGTCTTCAATGCAGAAGCATGAATTTAGGTTCTCATTTTGACGCTAGGAAGACTTTTTTTTATGCCCCACTGACGCTGCTGTCTATGGAGGCAGTGTATCTTGCACAAGCCAGGTTTGTATGTGGTTCTGTGCAGCCAGCATTGAACTTTGAACCCCCTGTCCCCAAGAGCTGACACTTCAATGCACATCCAGTGAATCCCTAGAACAATTTGTTCTCTAGTTAAGATTTCCATACTTTACCATGTACTCCAAAATGTATTCAGTTATCAAACAGGCCACTTAAAGAAGATATACATGGTGATATACATGGTTGCTTGTGTGCAACTCTATTTCTAAGTGCACTGCCGGGCCTACAATACTGAACTCTTAATGCATCAATGTTGTGCAAGATATATGTATGTTAAAATATGAGTGGCACTTACAGAGCCCTTAATAAGTTAAATAAAGAGTACATTCAGCTGGATGAGCATGATTTCATCGCTCTTTTGTTAACTACGCAAACAGAGTGCCAGTTCATCTGTCAGTTGTGATCTCCAGTGTTAAGCCTTATTAAACCCTGATGTTGCATATTTGTGGGAACTTGTATAATGAGCAGCATTCTTGAGGCCAAAAGTGTGTGAGTATGTGAAACTTCCCGAGGGGAAGAATTAATGACATCACGTTTCCCTGGTAAGCTCACCTGAAACAAAGAGTCTCGTAGAAGTTATCAAGGCGTTACCACTTCTGACCTTTCTCACTGTAATGGTGTAAAGGGAACTTACGAATGAAATATTTTGCCAGTAGCTTCACTCAGTCCAAACATGCACCCCACCCTTCATCCAAGTCGCTACAAAACGCTAACACAGTTGTTTTTTAAATTATACAAAGGAATTTTAATCGGCCTCATGGACCCGAGGGTTGAGACGCATTTCCCAACACATAAGAGAGTTCAGTCAGGTAAACACCACAACCAGAGCTGTGAGGATTTCGCCTGACAGCAGCAATTACTATTCTGTTATTATTCTTAATAGGAAATGAGCATTTTTTCAAAAACAAATGCATCACACATCAGTTATAATTTATAAGCCATTAATAGAGCCAGAGTTTGCATTACTAAGTTGTGAAAAGAGTCTTTGGCTGTTGTTTATCCCTTTTGTTTAGTAATGTAAGTGAAGTCCCAGCAGAACTATGCCGTGGTTGTTAAATGGATACCAGTGGTTGACTGTCTCCCACATGTGTCCTCAGCGGCCTCTCTCAGGTCCCAGGATTGTCCCTACGGTGGCGCAGAGCTATCCTGCCTGGACCCTCGCTGGCTCCATGACTTTCCCCAGAGACCCTGTTGCCAGTGTCACCTGGGCCCCGGACACACCTGTGGTAGGTTGTGCTTCAGACCACAGACATTTCACACTACAGCTGTGTTCTGGCATCAAACCACCAATAACTATAAGTCAAATATTGTATTCTAACAGTACACTGTAGCGTGGCCTAACTTTGCCTTTAGACCAGGAGCTAATGGCAGGTGGGTGAACTTCCATTTGTTTAAAGTTGAATATGTGTGTGTGACGCTCAGGTCCCGTCCACCTGATCCCATCTCTGTGCTGTGATGATAGCTGCAGTCTGGGCCGCAGCCAGGACAACAGTCCCTTCCCATCCCAGATGAGCCTCAGTGACGGGTGAGGAAACTGTGTGCTGATGACGATGAACAAGCACAAAAATGTGACTATATTTTTCGTCCTTTTTAAAGAGTAGTGGGTGGTAGGATAGGATGGATATAAAGCTCACCACCACTGACTCAGGTTGAACAGCTGCAGTTGAACTCCATATTATATGTACATTACTACTGAAATGTCAACACCATGACTACAAACATTGTTCATCCCAGAGGGGAATTAATATAAAACCCTGCAATGAGCAAAGTACTCTGAACTGTACTCTGCGCTGAACCTTTACAGCTGGCTAAGTTAAACTAAACTCAGCATCAATCAACTACTAAAATAAAATTCAAATTATATACTAGGGATGTCCCGATCAAGTTTTACTTTTAACACAGTGCGCAGTGCACACTTCAAGTACATTAAAGTAATTAAAATCAATCCAATGTATATGCTTGCACAGGCAGCCCTACCCACTGCCCCTGCTCTCTCTCACACACACTCTCTCACTCTCACTCTCACACACACACACACACACACTCTCTCACTCTCTCACTCTCTCACACACACACACACACACACACACACACACACACACACACACACACACACACACACACACACACACACACACACACACACACACACACACACACACACACACACACACACACACACACACACACACAGCGGAGGAAACAGCAGAGATAGTTGACGGTGGCTGCATCGTGCATGAGAGCTTCGTGAGTAAAAACAGCTGTGTGACAGCTGACCTTAAACAAAAGATCAGATCAATAAAACTCAACAAAGCAGATACCGATGAGTTTGAAAATGGCTTGATCAGTACCAATACCATTGAGATCAGATCCGGACATCCCTATTATATACGCAACTGCAAGCCCTCACAACTGTAGCTCCACTGGCTGCAGCTGCATTAAACATTATACTGTATACAATAAAACACTTGAAGAATGGAACGTACTTGTGTCAGAATAAAATGAAGATAAAAGAACCTCACATACCACATCACCTTAGACTCTTTGAAGTGCTGAGAACAGAGAGATCTGAAAAGGAAAACACCACAGGGTGTGGCTGTGAACAGAAATTCACTATGATAATAAACACAGCATTCTTTATTCCGCTCCCCAGAAACACAAACCAGAATGAGGAAGGCACCCCGATGCAGCTGGGAGGACGTCCGGAGTCTGTCTGTAAAGAGGCTGCTGGCATGAGAGAGAGTTTAGAGCCTGCAGAGTGTTTGGGGCTGCCTCAGTGCAATGCCGAGCCTGCAGGGAGACTGGAGGTGGAGGAAGAAGAGGAGGATGAAGAGGAAGGGTGCAGGCCAAGGGAGAATTCAGCTGAGAGGACCAGGCAGAGCTACAGTGACACTGTGACGGATGCACTTCTTCCCAAACAGCACTCATCGAGTCAGGAAGGTGAATTGATAAATATGATTTCTTTTTTTAAACATATTTCTACCCTCTGGCGCTCTCTGGATATTAATCAGCTTTTTCTCATCAATAGTTTGCTAGGTGTGTTAAGACACTCCCTTGGCTTTTATAATTAGTTGCCTCAAAGCAAACTGCCAAATGATTCTCTGATTTCTTACAGTGTCAAACAAAGGCCGCATTTCAACTCAAACTACACAGAACGTTTAGTCCATGAACTATTATTCAAGGAACTAAAAGGTTCCTTCCACCACGGTCTAAAGACCTGCAACGATTAGTAAAATGAGTCTGCTGATGTATGAAAAAGCTGTTTTTACACGTCATTTTAAACTATGCAACAAAGATGATACTTGTCTTCAGTCCAAGTCATATGCTTTTCTTCTCTAACTCCACGTCGAAGCGCAACGGACAAAAAAACTAACGAATTTGCGGCTGTGGATTTAAAAAAAAGAAAGGTGGCTGAATAAAATGCTGCAAGTATTTGACCAATCAGAAATGTTCAGTGGTGCAAGCCCCACCCCCAAAGTTCCTGTACTTTCGGAAAGTACTACCCCTCCGAGCCAGGACTTTTTGGGGGGTAAAATAATGTCCCTGGAAGTTAACGTAGTCCCTGGTCTCTGCAGTGGAAACACACTGAGTTTCTCCAAAGGTTCCTGGTCCCTGGGGAAAGTTCCTGCAGTGGAAACCCCGCTAAAGAGGAAAGTATGTGAGAGCAAAACTGCAGAGAATCTCTGAGGGTTGTTTCAAATTTCCCCGTATTCTACTAATTCCTACAGACATGAGAGAACAATCTGAGAGAACAATGCTGCATGTAATTTTCCAACCAATTTTGCAACCATTGTTTTAGAACACTTGTGCTTCTCGTGGGACTAATCTCTCTGTGTGTGTGTGTGTGTGTGTGTGTGTGTGTGTGTGTGTGTGTGTGTGTGTGTGTGTGTGTGTGTGTGTGTGTGTGTGTGTGTGTGTGTGTGTGTGTGTGTGTGTGTGCGCGTGTGTCCATGAAGAGCAACTGGTAAAAGAAACAAGAGATACCACGACTTCTTTGATGTGGACTATCCTGTTTTAAGTCTGCCCCTGGCTCGCTCTGGGTAGATATGTTACTAATCACTACGTGTCTGTGTTCCTCTTCCTGCTCTCTTTCCAGGATGACATGGATTTCTTTGGCTTGTGTTCCACCCTTGAACCACCCTGGACTCAACAACAGCCGCGGCCAGATCCCGTATCAGATTACTCACTAGTCCCCCCCCCCACCCCCCACTGCACCACACACACATACACACACCCACACCCACAAGCAGCAACCACTCTCAAGTGTGGTCACACCGCCTCTTTGAAATGTCTTTGAAATGGACCTCAGAGCCCCTTGTTAAAGGGTCCAAACAGAATATGTACATACACACAAACAAAAGCACTGCTGAGGAAGAGCGAAGCATGAGGGCAAAGGCGTACACACACACACACACACGCACACACGCACACACGCACACAATGTGAACTTGCTGGCCCAGAAGGTGAAATCGAATGAAGTTCAACCATTGAGGAGTACTGACTTGATACTACGGAGCAAAGTGAATCAAAGTGAGCCTCTGCTCTGCCTTGAGAATGTCTTGCATCTTCTCATGTAGGAGGACATAAACTGTACCACTGACCTAGCAGCTGGTGTTATGAAGCTTTTGTGTGTAAAAAAAGTAACAGTTGTAAAATTTGTGGTGTGAAGAAAAGTGTCAAAAGTGATTATGTTGCACATTGAAGACAATCTTGATAGTACGGAACAAGTTAAGACAAGGAATGTTTAAGTGAGTGTTATGTGTTGTAGATACTGTAAAATATTAAATAGGACAATATTTTTGTAACATAGACATGACTGACTATATGTTTGCTTTTCTTTCCCCAGTTATAGTGTTGATGGTTGTGAATGGTCACTCCCACATATTGTTTTTGTAAATAAACCACTTGAACAAGTTTACATACTGATTGACTGAATTACATATTTGTTGAATTCAGTGAATCAAGTGATTTAGTTTATTTAGCTCCATAGAGCCTCTAGTTGGTTTGAGCTCCAAATACTCTGAACCCCTTACCACAATGCAACTCTAGAGTTCAACAATTAGTCAATCAACAGAAAATTAATTACCAACTACTTTGATAACCTAATCTCCTAATCTCTCAGTTTTGGACTGTAGGTAGGTAATTTTCTACATTTTGTAGACGTCAAACTATGATATGACTTTTAATGTAGATTAAGTTTATTCTGAAAAAATATTTAAAGATGAATTATAATTAAATTAATCATCAATTTTAGCCCTACGACTGCACAACATGCCTCCTGAACACCCATGATTTTCAAACAGAGGCGTTTCTCTTATTTAGTCAACCTTCATAGGCATAAATGGGGTGGACAGAATAATAGAAACACCTGTAAGTAGATCTGATATTTCCTTTAAGGGTAATGAATCCCTTTACCAACTTTGTTTCTACATTCAACTGAAGTGCAGCCACAGAGTCTCTGCCGATATAATTTGCCTCAGGTTCACCTGGAAATACATCAGAGGTTAAAAACATCTGAAATGACAATGTAGTCATGTCGGAGACATTTCATATCCAGACAACCGTTACAACTGCTGTGTTGCAGCGTCTTGTGTGGCTAGAGCCACCCAGGTCGCTCAGTCCCTCTCTGATGGCGTGTTCACACCTACAATAACCATGTGAAGCTGCTACTTGCCGTCTGCCTCGGGTCTCATATCTGAGCTAGGCAAGCAAGGACATTGTTACAGGGAGCAGCTGCTCGCATCTGTTGAAACATAGTCTGTCCAGCAGATTGTATATTCTGGAGCGTCTGTGTTAATGTGACCAAACTACAATAGGCCCTGCTTTGGCACAGAGTGAAGCATAAAGTAATTAAATTTTAAAAATAATAAATACTAACTTTCCATAACAATACAACTGACTTATATTTTTACACTATGCTATAACGGCTAAGACAATCCAGATGAGGAATGACCACAACTTTCCAACTTCTGACTGAAAATTCATAACAGAAACTGCTGAATTTTTCTTTTTGACCTCTACCGCACCCAACTCTTCACCTCCTCCTTCCCCCTCAAAACTGACAGACAAAACAGATGGAGCGGTATTAATTTAAAGCCTAAACAATGACCACATGACAGGAAGAGCAGATTAAGTATTCTTCCTCACAATGATTTGATCAGGAAAAAACAATGTTCTGCTGGTATGTGAGCTGAAAATTGATATTTAACGGGGGTATTACTGGTTGTGGAATTAATGAGAATAAAAGCAAATTAAATGATGAAAACCACAAAAATATAATTTTAGTGAAATTTATGTTGCTATATTAGTGCATGAGTACAGTTCTGACATAATATGAACAAAACACATGTACAAAGTAAAAACTATGTTATTAAACAGACAGTGTGTGGCCTGGAACAAGTTACTGTTGAATCTGTTGAAATACCATTCATGGTGACAAAAGGGAGTCCATAGTATTGGTAAAGTGTGAATGGGACACAAATGACCATAATCTGTAAGAGTTTTCAGGTTTTAGTAGCATATCTTTAATTCTTACAATATTACCTTATATTAACAGCAGAATTAGCCAAATATATCAAATAAGTCAATGTGACTTTAAGAAAGAGCAGCAATATATAAAATGCTAACAGTTCATTTACAGGCAGAGTAAAGATGCCTAGTAAGATGAGTGTGCACCCTTTCTGCCATGTCTCACACCTCTTGGCTCAGCATTAGTGCTCTGTTTGCCTCGTAAGGGTTCGAGTCCGTTTCCACGCCGCCAGAGGCATCTTTCAGCTTTCAGAGTCCATGATAAAGGTCTCAAAGTTCGGGTTGAGCTCAGACACCAGCGCATCCACAAAGTCCTCAATGGTGGGCCGTCTCTGCAGCATCCCTGTCACAAAAACACAGAGCAGAAGGTTTTAGGGTGTGTGTGTGTGTGTGTGTGTGTGTGTGTCCAATGCACATCTGTCTCTGCGTGTTGGCGGGACACTGGTATGAACTGTTTTCTATTTTCCATCACTCCGTATTACCTCATTCTGAGAGCAGGGCAGCTTTTTTGGAGCGCTGAAGATGAAGTCACTGCAGTGGTTTTTACAAAACAGAGCACTCTGAGATAAAAAGGGCCATTTAAAAAAAAAATCCTTTGAAGCAAGTGCTATTTCTATCCCAAATTAAGCCAAAATCCAATTAAGCTCATGGATACAGGCTGCTGCTCCTGAGACTGTTGCCCTAATTCCAGTTCCTGCAGTGTTATTATCACTAGAATTATGTAATTTAAGGATCGGTTTATTTTTACCATTTGGATTTTATAATTTCTTTTGTATAGTGAATGCAATGTGGCGTTCTAATTACTGTATTTTAAAGTGAAGGAATAAGAAAATGTTCCACATTTCACTTTTTGGACCATAAAACTTAATTTCTCTAATCCAATCCTTTCTGAACTGCACACTCACACAATCTCCATATACAGATTATTGGAAGTGTAAACAGGCACAGAAACTTAGAAAACTCAGTTAAAAGGGCCTCAGATGTTGATATGATCCAACTTATTGCATGTAAGTTAGATAAGTATGGGCGGCTGTGGCTCAGAGGCAGAGCGGGTCGTTCCTTAATCGGAAGGTTGTCGAAGTATCCTTGAGCAAGATACTGAACCCCAAATTGCTCCCGATGCTGTGCATCGGAGTGTGAATGAGTTAGTTTCTGTTTGATGGACTTTGCCATCACTGAGTGAATGTGTGTGAAAGGGTGAATGTGGCACGTAGTGTAAAAGCGCTTTGAGTGGTCGGAAGACTAGAAAAGCGCTATACAAGTACAGGTCCATTTACCATTTACCATGTAGTAAAAAGTTCCCAACATCTTCTATTTCTGCCTTTAACAAAAGGTATACTGTACAGTTTATACTGATACTGAGCTCACACACTCACACACACTCTTGTTACACCAGACTGTGACTAGTGCTGTAGAGCAAATATGACTGCGCAGCCGGCAAGCAAGCCCTGGGAATGTCTGTCTGTGTTTTGAGAGCCTGTCTGCCAGCTCATGCGTGGAGGACTCCCTTGCTCGCTTTACAATTCAGCTGCACACCCGCTTTGAAGTCAGTTCATTTCCCCTTGTGTAGCTGCCAATGTAAATAGGCGCTCTCCCCCTCCCCCTCTTTCCTGCATGGGTCACCTCCAATGCACACACACTCATACACACACACACACACACACATACACACACACACACACACGAACACAAGCATGTCTGCACAGGCACGCATGAATGGACACGCAAAGAGTTTCACACAGCGATCCTGAACGCATGGACACACAGCGAGATACGGACAGTCAAACACACACACACACACACACACACACACACACACACACACACACACACACACAAACACACAAACACACACTGGGGAGTCTATGTTGCTGCCATCCTCAAACTGGCTCAGCAGGTACAAACTGAGTGCCGATTTGGCCTGGCCTGCCTTGCATGAGAGCACCAGAGAAGGGATTATCATCTCCTCTTACCCACCAGTCGCACCCTGCCCCTCGGCAACAAGATGATACCAACATACAGGGGGTCCCTAACGCAGCACAACCGCAAGGCCCCTGGATCCCTGGGAAGAAGGCAGCCACATGAAAGCGATAATTTCTAAACATGAATGATAACCCTAATTAAAGGGCTTCAGGATGTTGTTGCCCTGACCACAGTTGACATCTATGGCAGTTGATGGCCCCTTTAAAGTGGAGACCATAATGCCATGAACCGCTCCAGCTGCATTAATAGGTGTTGTTAAAGATATTGAGGCCAGCTTATCAAGTTGCACTTAAATTCATCTCCAGAGAGCTGGCACGGCAAGGAAATACAATTTGTGGAGCTGTAATAGAAAAGTGCTAACCTATTGGAATTTCAACCCTGAATTTCACTCCAAGATAATGTCAATGTGTCGGAGTGAAAGAAGACATGTTCAACTCAATATTCTGGCACAAAACGTCTCAATCCATTCATTTTCATTTCATTCATATCCATTTAATGATGCCAGCAGCTCTGAGAAGCTTATACTCACAAAGATGCACACAATGACAAAGCTAACATACTAGGGTGTTTTTTTATTCTAATAACTAGCTAATAGACCGGAAGAAACTTTGGGGTAAAATGTCTTAAATGCTAGTATAAGATGTAATTATGTATTAATTAGAGTGCAACAGGATTTTGTGTCCCTTTCACTCAACATGACACCATGACTATCTTGCAAACTAGAGGTCAGACGTCAGTCAGAACAGGATCCTTGAAGTCACCCCCTCAGTCTCCGCACAAGAAACAAGCACACAGGCATACACATGTTCTGACATGACACTTGTTTACTTGGTTGATTTTTACAGTGTGCGAGCAGATAGCTGTGGGCTCAGCTACCACTCTGAACTCTCCGTAAACTGTCTGCAGCGTCACCAGCACTTTCTCTAATAGATGTAATTTCCTGACTGTGTATCCACAAGGGGATCTGATGTCTGGAGCCGAGCCTGCCACAGGTTAGTGTGTTAAACAAGCGAAGTTAACATGACAAGAGTGATGAGCGAGGAGGAGGAGGAGGAGGAGGAGGAGGGGGAGAGAAAGGGAGAGATGGAAAGGGAGGTGTGATCATGAAAGAGGTTAGTCAGGTAAACAATAGCACCCTCGCCGCCTTCTCATCACCGACAGCTTGGGGTGTCAGCACCCGGGTCTCACACGGCGACCAACGGTAGATGAAGGGGAGGTACGACAATAAACAGTGAGGAGTGAGTCTTTTCTCAACCCAGATCCCTGGGAGAGTTTGAGAGGAATGCACAGATAACCTCAGAGTCATAACAACACTGCGGAGGAGTATCTGATCCGAGAAGCTGCTTTTATAGATACACACAAGGAGGAGGAGCAGACTCAGACAAAAGAGACAAGCCGGGTACAAAC